TATTAGTTATACAGAGCAGTGGGTTCCACTTGGCATGTTCATATTGCATACAACATACTTCGTGTTTCCCACCCCCTTTCCTTTCCTCCCCACTGCTGCTCACCTCCTCGCTCTTCTCTGACAACCTCCCTTTTACTTTTGTGTCATTTGTTATTTTTAAAATTCTGCTTGTGAGAAAAGACATTCCCTATTCAGACAAGGTAAATCTTAAAGTACTTTGCCTTTTACTGCATGGTGCCGAATGTCCACACAGGTGCTGAGAAGCACCGGCAGGGGGCTGGAAGGATAGGGGCATCCGGGGAGGCGTTTGTGACTTCCTCTCCCATCCATGCCCAGCTTAGCATATGGTGCGCTTCCAAGGTGGCTTTGACCACCGTCTGAAACCTACAGTTTCATTTAATATAATTTCACTATACTGTCATAAATTATTTACTAAAGATATGAAGCATAAAGAACACTCATGCTGAAAAGACATTAATGAAGAACATAAAAATAATGTGCATCCTACAAATTGGCCTCCTGATCCTACTTACCGGACTTAATTGTATTCATGTCGTCAAAAATTTCTCCTCAGGATGTCTGCAGTACTTCAAAACTCAATATTAAAAATAGAAACTGTTTACATAATATCTAATTTGGTATACCTGGAGGGCTAATGTTAATAGTCTTATGAGACAAATGGAGTCACCCCAAATTCTTATACTGCAGTCTTAACTCAGGGTGCTTCAGAATGTGAAAGTATTTGGAGACAGGGTCTTTACAGAGATAAAACAATGAGGTCATCTGTGACCTCTAATCCAGTTTCAGTTGTATCCCTCTAAGAAGAGGAGATTAGGACACAGGAACAGAGGGAAGGAATTTGAGGGCACTGGGGGAAAGTGGCCATCTGCAGGCCTGGGACAGGGGCCTCTGAAGAGACCAACCCACTGACACCTTAATCTCAGATTTCCAGTTTCCAGAACTGTGAGACAATAAGTCTGTGTTGTTTAAAGCACCCAGGCTGTGGTAATTCGTTGTGGCAGCCCTAGCAAAGTCCCACCAGTATCTAAAATTGGGTGATGTTCATTGCATTCTGGGTAATTTGAACTATGTTTACCATGATTTTTCTCATTGAAACTTCACACCAGCTCTCTAAGCTCTGTTACTACCCTTTCCTGATAGTACAGAGGGTGGCTAAAGCCAAGATACAAATAAGGCACACAGTTTGCTTGGTGTAACACAGACCATAAGTAATATCAAACTCTAAGTTTGAATCCAGGTTGACTAATTCACAAACCATAGCAGTAACCAAATGTAAGTCTATTAACAAAACCCATGTGTCATCTGCAAGGAAGTACTTCTAAATCCAACTCAAAATGTCTCTCTGACTTTTCCATTTAGAAACAAACTGCAAGCCAGGCATGGTGGTGCACAGCCTGTAATCCCAACATCTAGGAGGTTGAGGCACAAGGATCATTGCAAGTTCAACGCCAGCCTGGGCTACAAAGTGAGCACAAGGCCAGCCTGAACTGCATAGTGAGACCCTATTTCAAAATGACAAAAAAAAAAAAAATGCAAAAACTATTAGCAGAAACTAGTTTTTATAATAATAATATGAAAAAAAAAATACACCAAATAGGGAGGGGAAGAATTTTGTCAAAAAATACATTTAAATATCAATATTTGAAAAAAAAATCAATGTATGTTGTAATACACATTTGTGACTCAAATTATGTTTTCTTATATAAAAAGCCTCAACTGAAAAAGTAAAATATACAAGTAAATTAGAGTAGAAATATATGTATGTATATATATATGATTATGAAACAGTAGCTTAATATTGTACAAGTAAAAATGTATGCATTGTATCATATATATCCAAACAAAAGTCATTCATGCATTTATTTAACAAATATTGGCTGAAATCTATATTCCAGTCAGTACAGTCAGCACTAGTGTTAAAAGATAACAAGAAAGACATGGGTTCTGTCCTTCTGGAGCTTACAGTCCAAATCAATCCAGGCAAGCAAACCAATTCCATCACTGTAAGTGACAAAATATGGGAAGGGAGGAAGCTAGGATAAAAAGCAATGACACAGTCATTCCTCCAGAGATGTAATCAGGAAAATCTTCCTGACACTTGAGCCAAAGCTTGAAGGGAGGGCTGCAGCTGAACTGAAGGCCAAAACATTTGCCACAGGGAATCAGTGTTTTCTTTTTCTTTGTCCCATCATTTTAGAAAACTTTACTTGATCAATTTCAACTATGTCCTTCTTTATTGGTATGTACTTGGGTTTTGGGGGTTTTGTTTGTTTTTGTTTTGTGCATTGCACTTTTATTCTCCTTTTACCTTTGCAGTCATCTTTGAGTAATCATTGTGCAAACAATCCAGAATCTTGAGTTTTACTTGAAATTGTGCAGCATTCCCAAGTGAAGTGAAAATTTAAAAAGGGTTTTATGTAACGACTAAAAAGTAAAAGTGCTGTTAAGTTTCAAGAGTGAATACTTTCAACCCAATTCACCCTCTGCTTGACCATGTATTATGGAACTAGTGAACCTTAGGCTTTTTAAAATTGGAGTCTCAATTTTCAGGGAGGTGAGCTCCCAGGATGGTACCATTGTTCTTTCATAGCTAACCCGACATATGGCAGCTCTTTAATGTACTTTAAAAAGCAAATATATATTACTAAGGGGAAAAAAAGTTATTTACAATTGCCTTGTCATAATTGTTAAGGTGTTCTAGAGCCAGTTGCATACAACTTAATGTTATTTCATTCCATTCTGTTTTTACACAATGGTACATATTTGTGATACATAACATGACATTCATCCCAGGGAATTGGTACATGCACATATCACACATCTTGACCATTTACTCCTGCTCCTGCAGCCATCCCCTCACCCTTCTTCCTCAAACCCCGTTCCCATCTTCTCAGAGTCTACCTCCCTGTTCCCTTCCCTTTCCCTTTTATTTTGCTATTTAAATTATTTATATTGTGGCTCTCCCATGTTAGAGAAACCATGCGATACTTAACCTTCTGTGTCTTATTTATCTCAGTATTATGTTCTCAAGATCCATCCATTTTCCTACAAACGACTTAAATTTATTGACTCAAAACCACTGATTCCTATACAAAATGGAGCCTGTCTTTTTGAGCTGTTGAAATAAGAGGGGAGAGCAGTGAGAGGTGAGAGGAAGTAGCTGAGCTTCAGGTCATGTATGGCCTTGGGTTATGTGAGGAGTTTGCAATAGAAAGCCATGAGGAGTGTTAAGTGGGGAGCAACATGACCTGACCTAGTTTGAGAAAGTACTTCTACTGTTGCATGGAGATGACTGCAGAAAACAATGTCCTTGACGAAAGACCCAGTAAGAGGCTTTTGCAATATACTAGGTCACAGTGTATTTACTATAGAGGTGGCAGCAGAGCTAAAAAGGAGATTGACTGGAGATGTATCTTGCTGATAGAATTGATGGAACTTGATAGCAAAATATGCAAGAGTAGAGAGGATGATAAAGGAAAGAGGAGAGTCAGGGATGACTATTAAAGCTTTGGGGAAGATGACGGTACCATTTCCTGAATGAAGAAGGGTGGAGGTGGGCGTAGTTAGAGGGTGATGGCTACAGAAAGATGCACCCTACATCTGGTGCTGCTGATGCATCACGTCACAAAATGACTACTGTGCTTCCAGCCTCACAAACAAGGAAATGGAAGCAAGATGGTGGTCCCTTCTATCTGAAACATGGAATTTTTTCCAGAAATCCTCTGACTTCTGATGATGCCTTCTTAGCTGCAACTCTGCCGCAAGGCTAGTCCTTGTTACAAGATATAACACACACTGTAGCATGGATATTGAGACAACTAGGTCAACTAAACTCCTAACAAAAACGGGCCTCTCATATTAGGATGATGCAAAATGGATGTTAGGTGGACAGTCAATGGAATCTGCTAGAACACTCCCTGCTTAAATTAGCTTGTGCACCTGAGTAGGTGGTAGAACCACATATTTTTAAATTTTTCAAATCACAGTTCTTTATGAACTGTGACAGGTTTTTCCTGCACAGAAAAAAATAAAACAGAATAAAATGGCTTTATTGAGGGCATGGAAAAGACCACAGTAGGAAAGAGGGCTTGGAGCTTCTGAAGGCCTGGCTGGGAGAACAATGGCTTATAGGGCTAGGCTGGAGGTGGGGTTTAGGGGGTGAACCGCCTTCCTTGGCAGACCGGGATTGGGTGGGAGCATGGGAAAAGGAAACAGGATATTACAAAAAGGGGAGCAGGAAGTTGTAATCTGATTCAGAGGAAAAAGGGTGGGGCTTAGCACATGGCCGTCAGTGGCCAGCGCCATGTTATCTCGGCGCCAACTGGCTCAGCGCCATAGCACATGGCCTCCAGTGGGCGGCGCCATAGCAAATTGGCAGGAATCTTAGGTGAGGAAACCCATCAGTATGAGTGTTGGAAAATTTGGACCTGTTTCTTTTCCAACTGAGAAGAATATTTCCTTTGTAAATAACACCAACCTGCTGTCTCTGACCTCCCAGCTATCCTTCAACTGTATCCTCTAGTGCCAAAATTTTTCTTCCTCATAGTTATTATGTCCTGTGGAAGCATTGCAGTTGGGCTTGGTGTCCTGGCCCTGGGATGCTCACCCCAGATGTCCTGAGAGGACAGCATGGGGGAATGGAATGGTGGCTCTTTCTTCTTATATATTCCCTATGATTCTTGGAAGACAAGTGCTACCTTGGCTCTAGGATAACCCAGGAAGGTCAACTGGCCACCTCAGCTTGCCCTTCTGGAATGCTGAGGCTTCGCCTCTGTGTACCATATGACACCTTGATCCCAAACCTTCTCTTCCCTGGCAGAAGACAGGGCCCATTTGCACACTGTAGCCCACTATCCCTGCACAAAGCTAGACCACACTCTGCTGGAATCAATCTGGAAACACTTACTATATTTGCAACACAAGCGCCAGCTACTTTACTTAAGAGACGCAATGTTCACTTTGTTTTTTTTTCCTTAAAGAAAACTTCAAGCTGAATATAATTATACTGATAATAAAAACAGTCTTCACTAAGGGGAAACTGTAGTCTCCAGAGAAAAACATCGGCCAACAATGAAGAGAAAGAGGAAGAAGAGACAAGAGAAGGAAGGGAGAGGCTCTGATTGTGTCAAGTCAGAAATCGCTCCCTGGAAGCAGGCCAGCAGGTGAGGGCCCTGTCAAGTTACTCTAGTTAAACAAGGATAGTGGAACAGCACCAACCGTCCCCCAGTGCTTGAGCTTGAGATTTGCTAACATCTCAAGCTAGTTTCCAAATGCCTGGGGTTTGGCACCATCCAGGTTCATGGTTGGGACGTTTTCTTGGAGATCTATCTAAATGCTTTTATTTTTTATTCCATCTCCTTGCAGTTAATATTCAGCTAATTCATTTGCTCCAAATATTTCTTTTGGTCCATGTTGGATATCTTCAGATTCTTGCTGTGATACTCCCTTTGTGTAGGTGCCAGAAATTGTACAGCATTACACGCATGCCTGGTTTGGGGGGCAGGGGCCCGTCCCTTCCAGTTTATCCACTTCATTCAAGGATTTAGAGAGCTGTACCAAGGATGGAGAGGGCATTTCATGTGTGGTACTGCAGAAAGCCTTGGGATTGTTGGCCTTAGAGGCAAGGCATCATGGGAAGCAACAAACTTCTTCGCAGTTTTGAAAGGATAGCAAAAGGATGAGGCCTATTCTTCGCAGCCCCAGAGGTGCGTGTGGGCTCAATGGAAGAAGGATTCTCTTCTCTCAGAGTAGCTAGGAGGAGACATAGCTTCCCCTTCTGCACCAGAGTGCCAAGTCTATGTCAGAGATTTGTAATGGCTTGCCATTCATTTTTGGAGATTGAAAGATGAATGAATGAAGCTATCCAAGAACAGACTGAATATTGGATTCAAAGACTTTAAGTGTATTTCTTAAAGTGTGGGCAGCACATACCAACACTCAGCACAGGGCTACTCCTTGGGAAGCACTCAGATATTATTTGTTGCATGGTTAGTTGGTTGGATGTAAAGCTGACAGATTTAGCAATAGGGAGCACCAACACACACTTGAAAAACTGAGGTCAGTAGTAAAGAAACCTGAGTATATGCAATGCAGCCCCCTCTTCTCTGAGCAGGCCCATTGGTTCCTGCCTCTCTGAGACAACTTCTAAAGTTGGAAGCAGACAATCTCCTGCCTCCATTTTCTTCTCTAGCACTTCCCCAAGGCTCGGAATGAAACTGCTCTTCTGCTTCTACATGAAGTGGCCTCTGATCTCACAGCTTCTATGCCTGATTAGGCTGAAATGACATGTGGTTTTCATGTGCCTAGGTGTGGTTAACCAGATCATTAAGGAAAATGTCATGTCACAGAACTGTCTAGAGAGGATCTTGGAGTTGAATTAATACTCACACCAACCTACCTTTGAAAGCCCCTAATCACCCTGGGAAAAGGAGAAAGTGGCTTCTCTTTGTCCCCGTGCCCATGGCATTAGGTGCCAAGGAACACTATCAGGGGAAGAAAGACTGTGTGCCCCTGGGCAAAGTGTTCAGAACAAAAGCGGCCCCTCCAGCGGGTATGCTGTCGGTGCAGCTCATGTAGCTGGTAGAGATATTCGAGTGCCAGCTCTGGGAAGTGCAGGAAGGGGAGTCTGCACTGACTCAGTTTTCCTGTCAGTCAGTATTATTTTCCATAACATCTCATTTAATAGTGGCCCAAATTCAATAGAGTAGGGAGCTATATCCATATTTTTATATAATTAAGTTTGTTGGTATATTTTAGATATACATAATGATCGCATTCATCATATGGCATTTGGACCCGTACATGATATATTTTGATTGCTGTTTTTCTCAATCCCTTCTCCTCCCTTCAACCCATCTTCCCATCCCTATTTACAAAGTTTGTTTCCATTTTACCCTTTTTTAAATCGTTTTTTCGCCTTTCCCTTCCTTCCTTTGCCTTTCCCCCACCCTAGTTCTTCTTTCCTTTCGAGCAGCTTCTTCCCATTTTGCAGTATCTGTTGTACATTTTGGCCCTTACTGACTCTTTCAGTTTCTCACACCAGTCAATGGAACAGATTAGAAGATGCAGAAACAACTCAGAACATACTCAGCCACCTTATCTTTGACAAAGGAGCCAAACACCTTCACTGGAAGAAAGATAGCCTCTTTAATATATGGTGCTGGAAAAATTGGCTTTCCACATGCCAAAGACTAAAACTAGACCCAGATCCATCACCTCGCACCACACTAAAATTGAAATGGATCAAAGACCCATATCCATGTTTTATAGCTAAAGAAACTGAGGTAGTGGCCAGGTAAACTGTTAGCTGACAACACACTCCCAGTACCATCACAGACAGGGTACAGGTTGATTCTGTGTAACCCCAGGTGTATGTTCTGAACATGACGTTCCGACCAGAGAGTTAATGTAGTCTCTCTTTTCTAGGTTATTTGCTACCCTGGTGCATCTGGCAAGGAGCCCAACCCAGCTGCTGGCCTGAAGCATCTTTTGCTTTCTGAGATTGACACATCCAGATAAGAAAACTGAAGGCCATGAAGGTGAGTGGCCCTTCCCCGGTCCTTTCCAATAGCAGCACGAGGAGAATCTGCAGGGTTGGAGCATGTGGGGCTGAGCTTGTAAAGAGACAGCTGTTTGTAGAGGTCTAAGCCCATTTTTACTCATTCCAGAAAGTGGATTCTCACCGCTTTGTCTGGATTTCTGAGACTTGACTTACTTGATGTGTACATTAAACAAGTCCATAATTATTGCAAATACTACTTCAAAAATTGAGAATAATTCACCTTAGTAGAAAGATGAGCTCTAGCCCACACCACACCCCCAATTAGTAGTCCTGTGATTGTGGACAGCATGGGTGATCAGTTTCCTCAGATGTCAGATGAGGTTGGAGTCAGGAAAGTGCCTGGAGACATTTTGTCACCTGTAAAAGGTAGTCACATGAATGATATTAGCCATCATTCTTTGTTTAGTGTTTTAATGTGGGAATTAAATACCTTTGATTTGAAATTAGGGAAAATGG